GCGGACCCTTATCTCTCGCAGGAGACAGAGGAGTCGACTGCGAGCAGACAAAGTTGGGTTTTTTTATACACTTTAGGGAGATACAACTGGGTATCAGCTTCTCATTGGGTGATGAAGACTTTCTGCTTTTTTAAAAACCAAAGGGCGCAGTCTGAATTTGGAGGTGGTTAAGCCTCATCTATCACTGGCAGGAGTTCTAAGCTTGAGAAGCTGAGCGGTATTAAAGGTTCCGAGACCTGGTTCTGGCCTCATTGCGTTTTGGGGGGTAAACTAGAAATCCAGGGTGCCAGCTTATCGATCCCTTTCTGCTGCTTAGATTTCGTATCGGTTAATTCTTCCTAATGACAGTTTATTTTTTTTTTTCTTTCTCAGACCTCATTGTTCAAGCGAAGTCTGGCACTGGGAAGACCTGTGTATTCTCCACGATTGCATTGGACTCTCTCTTACTTGAAAACTTAAGTACCCAGGTGAGTCTAGCTTACAGAACTCAGATAAATGAATGAGTGAAACTATATGTAATTAATCAAAATGAAAGGCTGTTTTGAGGTATATGGTGTGAATGGCTACATCATCGGTCTTTGAAGTTTGCAATTTTACATTATTACCGAATCATAAGAGAACTCTGGTGGCCTAGTGAGTAGGTTGTTGTTTTGCTAACCCTTTGGAAGGCAGTTCGAATCTACCAACTGCTCCTCAGGAGGAAGGTGGACAATTGTTTTCTCCTTCATTTTACAGCTTCTGAAAACCTGTTGGTGGAAGGTCAGCTATGAGTTGGTTCCCACTCATTGGCACACAACCACCAGCATCATAAATTGAGTAAGCCTGCTATGTTTGTCAGTTTTGACTTACAGACTAGATGAAACCAAGGTGAGACTTAGCATTTGAGTTGGTCTGTAGAAATGTGCTCTGGCTATTTTGTGGGTAACTCTGATTGGTTCCTTTTTTTTTTAAAAGAAAATTTATTGTGGTTTTTAGGAAAGTTGACTGTCAAATTAGATTTTCATTCATTCATTGTTGCACATTTTACCCCCTCTACCTCCCCCTCCCCCAGTTCACTTTTTTAATATTCATTCATTGTTGCACAATTAGACCTCTCCCAGTCCACTTTGTAGTGATGTACACTCTTATTCTGGGTGTTTGTGGACATATAATGCTTAATTATATATTCCTCTTGAACAGTTCTTTCCTTCATCTGTTCCAGTGCAGTGGGCATTCACTCTTTCTGGTTGGTTCTTACAGATATGTAAACATCTCTTGTCCTTTCATCTTCTAGATTTCCTTGGACTAAATCTAGGACTGCTGCACACAGATTATCAGGAGATTTGAGTTTGGGAGAATAATTTCTTCAGCAAAGATTTGCTGAGTATGTTTTATGCATAAACAAGATATCAGACTTGGGGAATACAAAAGAGAATTAGGTGGAGTCTTTATAGTTTTAAGTTTGTGGCATAGTTATGGCTTTTATTTCATGTTCTCAGTAATGTTTATCTCATGATGGCGATCGTTTAATGCCGTAGCCTCTAATCAGGACTTGCACATTTGGGAAGCTTTTTTAGTCCTAATTTATATCTACTGAATCCTGATTGATGCTGCTTATAGGAAATCCTACTACCCATGGATCTGGGCTTTTTTACTTAAGGGTCAAGATGAATATGAGATTTGAGCTTCTGACGGTGTGCACTATCACAAGCAGGTTAAGTGCCAAAAGTGTTAATTGTTTCCTAAAGTTGTTTTTAAGATTTTAAGACGTTTCATACTATCAGAGTTATGTACAAGGGAGCTGTGATGGGTAGAGGGTAAGGAGTTACATTGCCAACCCAAAGGCAGGTGGTTCAGCTTCTCTGCAGGACAAAGTAGGGCAGTCTCCTCTCCTGTGATATGCAGCCTCCAAAAAAGCCTGGAGTCTGTCTGACTCAAGGCAGTGAACTAGTTGCATATATATTGTGGCACCAAGCAAATTAAAGTTGTTTACAATCTCACCATCACAGTGTTGCCAGTCGGCCCAGTGGTGAGAATCTGTTTTGTTGATATTGAGCTTCAGTCCATATTGAAGGCTGCAATCCTTGACCTTCTGCAGCAAGCGCTTCAGGTTCAGTTTCAGCAAGCAGGGTTGTTGAATCTGCATAACACAGATTGTTTTATATATATATGTATTTTTTTCTTTTCCTCCCTTCTTCTTGGAGTTAGAACATGTATTTTGGAACAAATTCACTATGGGTTACACCAAACCTTTCTTGATCTAGGCCATGGATTTGACCTCTTCCACTTTTCCCCCAATTCTGTCCAGTCACATGGTTTCCTTGCTATATGTAAGGTATGCTTATTATATGTCTTTTTATTGTACTAAAATGAAACTACGATGCTTTTTTTTAATGTTATTTTAATTTTATATTGATTTGTGATAAAGTTTGTATACAGTGTGTTTCTTTTATGTACATTGTATTTCACACATTCCTTTATTCTCATTGTTTTTCCCATGATCATTTCCATACATTGTGTTTTATAAAATTAATCATTGATCCAGGCCATTGAACCATTACCCCGCCTTTTCAGGTCCCTCGTGGATCTTTCCTAATTCCTTCACCTCCTCCATCAAACTCTGTGACCTTACATTCCCCCTGTCTCTACTCACAGTCCCTCCTCCTTCACTTTCCCCTTTGGACTTCTGTACACATCTTACTAGTAATGGTCTTACGCAGTATTTTGACCTTATGAGACCAATTTCGTCCACTCAACCTAATGCTCTCCAGCCTCTCCCATGTTTTGAAGTATTTTTTAAAATCATTGCTTCTGAGTGCTGCAGAGTACTCTATCATGTGGCTATACCAAAATCTCTTAATCCGTTCATTTGGGCTGTTTCCATTTTCTTAAGATTATGAGTAATGCTGCTTTGAACATCAGTGTACAAATCTCCATTTGTGTCTCAGTTCTTTTTCCCTCAGGTATATTCCTAGCAGTGAAATTGCTGGGAAGTATGGAATTTTCTATGTTTAGCTTTTTGAGGAAACACCAAACTGCCTTCCAGAGTGGTTGTACCATTTTACAATCCCATAGTACGTGACTTTTTATTATTAATTGTCCTTAAAGAATGATACCATGCTAGGAAAAGAATAGGAAGACCCTCAGTGAGATGGATTGACAAGTAACTGAAACAGTGGGTATATGTATAGCAGAGATGAAAAGAGCGATGCATGATTGTGCCTTATTCTGTTGTACAGAGGGCCACACCTAAACACTATGTTGACTGAAGTCCCTGGGTGGTATGAACTGTTTACATTTGACTGCTCATCCAAAGATTGATGGTTCACACCCACTCAGACCTGTTGATCTGCTTAAAAATTTTATTTTAAAAAACCAAACCTACATTTGAATAAATTCTGACTCATTGTGACCCTCCACATTTAACCCAAATAAAGGCTTCTATAATTAAGGAACTCTTCTACTCTGTAATGTGAAATAAAGTTGGAAACAACTTGAGGGCAACAGGTTTAGTTTTTAGGGTTTCGTTTTGGGTTTTTTTTTTTGTTGTTGTTGCTTAGTAATTAGTATATTCTCACTTACTATTTGCTGAATGAATATGTAAATAAATGGACTATTTTCAAATCATCATTTTAAATGGTTGTATCATATAATGAA